TAAAAAAATAAAACAGAGTGATTTGTTGTGAGTTAATAAATTATTCCGAGATACTGTCATCTACGTCTCATATCTCACAATTACTGTCTCACAGGATACTGTCATCTTCGCCCAATGTCTTACAATTACTGTCTCACAGGATACTGTCATCAACGTCTCATATCTCACAATTACTGTCTCACAGGATACTGTCATCTTCGCCCAATGTCTTACAAATACTGTCATAAATACTCTCATCTTCGCCTGTGTATGACAATTACTGTCATATTCGTCCCACAAAGACGAGACTGCAGAATGTTTCCAATATGCTGTGGATATATAGAAATAAATCATAACAAATTGGAATTAAAATGTTATATCTCTATAGTTATGTGGTAATATTATTGAAATCTTCTCGGCTGATAATCAGTCAACAATTAGCTGTACTGTGGTTTCTCCTCTGTTTTCAGATGGCTTGATATTTATTATGGAAGTGAAGAGTCGCCATTTTTTGGTTACGTGTCTAGATTAACAATATGGAAGGAATTATTAGAGGCCGATATTTTACAGACAATTTCAATGATTGATGCTAAACCTAATAAAACTCTAGCATATGATTGGTTGGATCCTACTGTAACTAGGTCGTCATATCGTATATCACCAAGTAAAGTTAAAATGGCCCTCTGTGAAAATGGCATTTATGATGGTTGTTCTGGTGAGTATTATTGTATTCAACAATCACGTCAACGTTTTAAACTGGCTCGATGAGTAGAGCATTGGCTCGCTTACCTGAAGGTCCCGGGTTTGATCCCTGTCTTGGCTGTTGAAGTTCATCAGTATTTTCCGGCGTGGTTCCCCTTATCAGTGATGCATGACAGGGACTCTAGCAAAGGAAGACATAGATCCCTTGAAGTTGGAATTCGATATAAGAGTAGGACGTTAAAACCTATTTCATTTCAACTTCTAAATTACGACAAACAATATCTTTTGTAATGTAACATTTTCTAGATGAGAGTAGACATGATAATGAATCTATCACCAGAGCAAATATAGCCAGTCCCACAACACAACACGTGGACATTGAAAACATAAACACCTATCAAATCAAGTGAATGAAACTGTGCGCTATTCGTAAGCCTCCATTTAACCATTGGCCCCGAAGTTACGCACGTTTCACTTATTGTAGGTTTTGCAGAGAAATGATTATTATTATTTATTATTATATTATTATTATTATTATATTATTTATTATTATATTATTATTATTATTATTATTATATTATTTATTATTATATTATTATTATTATTATTATTATATTATTATTATTATTATTATATTATTATTATTGTTATTATATTATTATTATATTATTATTATTATTATTATTATATTATTATTGTTATTATTATTATTTATTATTATTATTTATTATTATTATATTATTTTATTATTATTATTATTATTATTATTATATTATTTTATTATTATTATTATTATTATTATTATTATATTATTATTATATTATTATATTAGTATTATTATTTATTATATTATTATTATTATTATTATTATTCAGTAAAAGATAAGAAACCGCCGATGGTTCAAAGTTGCAGTACAAGTAATCTCAATATATCATCAAGCCAAAGATCGGTCACATTAACAGATGTAGGAACCATTCCTACCTTCTCCAAGGGAATTCTTCATTTTATTGATTTAGGTGGTAAGTTTTGTTTTAAATTCATTTAAAGGGGTGTTGTGTGTTGCTTGAAAGGGCCTAGCTCCTGTTATATCCAGGGGTGTTGTTTGGAAGGGCCTAGATCCTGTTATAACCTCGGGTGTTACAATAAATTATGGATTAAATTTAAAAAAAAAAAGTTCTCCATGTTAGAATCCAATCTTTATTACTCGAAAGGGAAGAACTAAAATATACGGGAGGCATCTTATAATTACATAAAGATAAGGTTCGCACCACAATGATATTCAATATCCATTGCAGTTTAGCGAGCGAGAGAGAGAAATGGGGTTAAGCGTTCACTGGACACAAACTAGGTCATTTCGGGACTAACACATGGTTCAATTTTATTTCAATAATTCGCTTGCGCGTAGGGGTCTTTATAGCAGTGGAAGGAAACCGGAGGACCCGGAGAAAACCCACGAGGTTGGACAGGCGAACCTACTCTTTGTTACGTACAACCGGGGAATCGAAACCCCGCCAGTTGACTTAATTTGCAATTTAGCCTTCAATTTGTTCATCTGCATGTACTCATTTCCGTAGATGGAACCGAATACGCTTGGGATGTTCTTGTCTTCTTCATGTTGCTGTACCTTGTTGTATTATTATAAACATTGTTTACTTGTAGCTGGAGCACTAACATGGGGATCTTATGATTTTGTGCATGTTTCAAAAGACGACAACAATAATTATGCGCAGTGCAGCAGGAAGTTAGCAATTATGGGTTAGTAGGGTTTTTTTTACTTAAAAAATAAAACTGCTTAAGTTTGTGTTAAAATCCCTTAAAATCCTCTACCTAAGAGCTGAGCAACTAACTCAATATTTGTCATACGTTTTCAAACAACATAAACCCGCCAGTCGTCATCTGAAAATGGAGACCGGTGTCCAAACTGTATTATACGATGTCTTGATAAAACCAGACTTTAATTTATAAAAATAATGTGTAGGTGAAATTAACCCTTCGTTATGAAGTACAGCACACGGGTTATTCACTGTATATACCTCTAAAGAAACGGGAATCCATTATCAGGTCGCCCAACGAGAAAACTGACCCGAAATCTTAAAAGGGTTAAGTGTCCGGATAAGCATTTTTGACGTTCACGTCCTAACGACTCAATATTTTGAGCTAAAATTTTGAGACGGAGTAAATAAAACATTTCTCTATATTTGGGTGCTTAAATTTCTGTTACATTATTAGGGTGAGTTCAACCGCTGCCTTGGCAGAGAGGCGAAATGGTAGAGTTAACATATTTATGTACCGTCTTGATGAGTTCCTGTATATATTCTAAGTACCTGTATTGCTGTTGTAGTTATGTAGATGTGTTGTATTCTGTTCCAATGTAAATAAACCATATATTAATTAAACTAACCTCTGTTATCACTAAGAAAGTGTTACAGTGATTAGTTACATTTCATACGTACTCGTACTTTTATTTTTGAGACTCTGTTCAAATTGGGATAGTCCCTTTAACTACTTATTTATGGTTTACTAGGTTATTATTTCACTTAATAACCTAAATATTTATGGTTTACTAGGTTATTATTTCACTTACTAACCTAAATATGGTTTATTAGGTTATTATTTCACTTAATAACCTAAATATTTATGGTTTACTAGGTTATTATTTCACTTACTAACCTAAATATGGTTTACTAGGTTATTATTTCACTTACTAACCTAAATATTTTTAGGTTAGTATGTTTTGTTACTTAATACATATTTATGGGATAGTAGGTTTTTTATATTTGAGAAATTAGTTGATTTATCATATTATTTATAAAATTTGGGAATTGATGGGTCATGCCATTCTCCACACAAGTCTCACTATCCAGATTTCAGCTCTGTCGTAGACTCGCACACTACATCGGGTGACCCGGAGGTTATCGGTCGCGTTATCAATTACATAATGAAAATGGCGTCCGTCAGAAACGTTCCTGGCGTTATAAATACTTATAGGAGCTAAATCGCTAATATTTGGGATCTAGAAAATTGACACAAATGGGTCGCAACGCATATAATAATGTAATATCAATGTTTCTGTTTTTACTATACTTACTTTACTATACTTGTTTTTCTTTGAATATCAATAGGAAAATCATGTCCACGAGAAGGTCTAACAGGTTCTGAGTGTTCTATAAATGGATTGAATGGTCAATGTTCTGGTAATCAACGTTCATCTGTACCGTCACCTAATATATTTACATGTAGTGCTGTTGGTTCATACAATCTAGAGGATTGGAGACAGAGAGTGACAGTGCCACCTTGTGGAGGTAAATATAATTATTATAAATTCAAAATTTTGAAACTTTCCTCGCGTGGACAGGCTGAATTTTGAAACTACTTATACATGCATATAGTGTCAGTCGCAGGACAGAGGGTCTGACAAAGGAAAGTGTATAGTCGTTCAGTTGGGACGAAAAAACGACCTCCCGTGTACACATTGGCGTGCAGGTAAAAGATCCCTTGACAGTTAGAATTCGGTGTAAGATTAGGCCGTAGTGCCGCTGTGCGGACAAAATTTCCCTCATAGCACACTGTATGACGTATGGACGTCTTCATTAGCCAAGTCGGAGCAGAAAAGTAGAGCGTTTAACTCAATTTCATTTGCTAAAGGAGTTATCTACCTTACACCATTTATTGTTATTTGTTTTAGATACATCTGCATTACAACTAACAGTTACCATCGTTTTACCATACCAACTACAACTTGATTGTGTACCTAATACTTATGAGAATGTTTTCGATGGAGCTATCCGGCAGAAGTTTAACGACATTAAAGCCGACTGGCCTATGACATGTTTGAACGATTGTAGTAATGTTCAGATTACTTCGAAATGTGGTGTAGGGGACAAGATTCAAACATTGGATGCTACCGTGGTGGTATCAGATCTACCGTAAGTAAATACCCACATATATCTACTGTCTGTTCATACCTACAATAAGAACGAAACCATGTCGAAATTTAGACTTCTACTTCTATTGTAAACATTGTAAATGTCGGGAAAACATTGTAAATGCTCTACGTGCCAGGTTCGTTGGGATGTTTGCTCCAATCTGTTCTATAAAACTGCACCACATCTTTATTTGTATAGTACTGTCAGTAATGTATAGTACCAACAGATCTATTCATTGGATCCCAGTGAACCCTCGAGTTAAGAGGGACCATGCCTTATTCCGGCTCTGGTCAAGGTGTATAGTAAATCTCAGGTAGATAATATTTATAAACTATTTAACATTATATTTTTTATAAACTATTTTACATTATATTTTAAACTTTATTTTTATAGCACCATGGTAAATAAATCGGATAATTCATTGATGTTGATGCCAACTGAAGTGTTCACAATAATCACCAAGGAAAAGGATACTTTTGCATTCCCTGTAAGTACACCCATATTCATCGTTGAAATTTTAAAGTTTCTGGGAATCATAAAAGTATAAGCTTGACCAAGGCCCGTGAGGGAGGAGGTTGGTGTGTGTGGGGGGGGGGGGGGCTCAGCTGGACACTTGTTGGTATAAATTAATAAAACAATACACTGTTACTTGATCGTAAAGTAGAAGAACTTTGGTGGATACGTAGTGCAGTATGTCGGATTAGAATCGAATTCCAATCCCTTTACGCGCGAGACTCTCGTCACCGCCAGGATATCCGGGCTTCCTTCCGTTTGGATCAAGTTTATGTGATGAAAAATTTCCGTTAGATATTTTGGCGTCTAATTGTCACGATGTTTATTTTCTCCATTTGTTTGTTTGCTTAAAATTTCCTGTGAAAATGGTGTACATCTGATTATTATTACCTCAGTAAAACTAAAATATAGTAGGCCTACATGTATTTGGTATGTCATACGTTGTTGTCTTAAATCTCAATTTCTGTGTTTTAGCAAAGACCCTTCAGTTACACCTCCCCCGACTCACCCCTCGCCGAGTTGCTTTTCCCAGGGACGGGGCGAATTGTCGTGGACCCTGAGCTTGACAAGGGACGTTTATTTTTATGTTTTGGTTTCAATTCTTGGCTTAGGAAAGTGTCGATTTTTTTCTCGGCACATTTACTCATTAACAGAATGATTAAAATAACATGTCTGCTGTTTAATTAAAATGTCTATTTTCAAAAGACCTTCAGCCTGGGAAAGGGGGGGGGGGGCGGGTGTTGATTCCTTGCTCTTCAAAATCATTGGGTTTTTTTTCTTTTTCATTGTTTGGTAGTAAATATAGCCAAAAACTAATTTAGACATTTGTAACTTTTCCCAAAATGCTACTGAATTCCAATAGAATAAAGTAAATGTTTATTAATAACTACCAGCGTATAGGCGGATCATCTCTACAGAAAGCAATGGCGACTATAAATGGTATAGGTTCTTGTCCAATGGGTTATACTGTACAACATGGAGTATGCGGTAAGTCTATTACCTTCCCATATTGTTAAATAGTTTCATATAATATAAACAACTTAGTGTAGACAGTCTCGAACCTTAATTTTCATTGGTTGTATTATATAGTTCAAAGTTTGTCAGAACGAGGAGACCAGGATGCAGTGATGTGTATAGAGTGCGTGGGGAGAGTGGCCCCGGAAATCCTTGTCCAGAGGGAATCCAAAATGAAATGAAATCGGGTTTAACGTTCTACTGTTCTGCTCCGTGATCCGACTGGACTAATATAGACGGGCTTACGTCATACAGTGTACTATGTGGGAAATTTTGCCCCGACAGCGGCGCTACGGCCTGGTCTTATATCGAATTCTAACTGCCAAGGGATATTTAACGCCCCAACGACTAGACAGACGTCCTTTTGGGGAGGGCATCCAATCAAAGAATGAAATTAAAATTAAGGATTTTTTTTAAAATTTGAAATTATCGCAGCTGTCAGCATTGGTGGATAAGCTAACCTCCTTAATTAGGATAAAAAGTTTATTTTATTTGTTACGCCATGTCAATACTAGGCCCTATTTTATCTGTTGCGCCATGTCAATGTCAGGCCCTATTTTATCTGTTGCGCCATGTTAATGCTAGGCCCTATTTTATCTGTTGCGCCATGTCAATGCCAGGCCCTATTTTATCTGTTGCACCATGTCAAGGCTAGGCCCTATTTTATCTGTTGCGCCATGTCAATGCCAGGCCCTTTTTTTGAGTTATGAGGATATACAATCAAACTTCTACACTTGGACAATTTCAACATGGCGGATTAAGGGAATTTTTATTCACATTATTATTTCAGTCCAATGTGGACCTGGATCGTATTATAATTCAACAAGCATGACCTGTCATGTTTGTCCTTTTGGCCATTTCCAGTCAGCTTCCGGTAATACGTCATGTAACGCGTGTCCAAATGGACAGACAACTCTAGCCGAGGGAGAAACAAGTCTTAGTGACTGTGTTGGTAAGTATTTTTTTATTTATTTGCACATAGGCGGCGTAGGAGGTAATGGGGGGGGGGGGGTGCGGTGCAGGCAGACGGATAAAGTGAAAACAAAAAATATTATTTCATCTAGTTACCAAAATAAAGTGCCCGAAATCTAATAAAAGACTTATTTTCGTTTTCTTTTGAATACCACGAATTTGTACTAAACTGTCTATTGATTAAAACATTTGTCTAGAGCCACTCTACTTTGTGCGACATTTTTGGGGCATCGATTATTATTTGTGAATGCAGCTGTGAAAATCTGATTAGATGGTTGGAATTCAGGTCAGCATAGAGTGGGATTTCGGTTGCAAAACGATTGGAAACTTTGAAGTTGCTTCATTGTATTTTATTGCAATAGAATGCTGCTATTTAATCTCTATTTATTGTATTGCAGTAAACTATTGCTATTTATTCCCTCTTTATGTTGTATTGCAGTAAACTACTGCTATTTATTCTCCTGATGATTTTAATGCAGTAAACTATTGCTAATAATTGTCTTGATGTGTTTTATTATAGTTAGCTGTGCCGCTGGTAGTTATTATAATTCAAGTAGTTCTAGATGTACTCTCTGTGCTAGAGATTTCTACCAACCACTGACTGGAAAGGACTATTGTAATGCATGCCCTCTTACAAAACGAACCAAGAGTGAAGGTTCAACTAACGAAACTAGTTGTTCAGGTAACTACACATACTGATATTCCCGGTGGTGGCTGAGAAAATTCGTCTGGATTTTCCCACGTGGTTCCATCTTGTCAGTGGTGCAAGGACAGAGGGTCTGGAAAGGTACAAAAAAATCCGATGTCCCGTGTATACATAGGCATGCATATTTCATTCCATTTCGTATATTATTATTCAATACTAACCGATTTATTAAATTAGAAACAAGCATAAGTTAACAAAATCATTTAAAAACCCATCAAGATATTGTCTTACATTTTGAAGGTATTTTTTTTTTTAAAAAGTATTTAATAAAAAAAACCTAACAGCGATTATTGGGTGAAATAGATTACACAGGGAGTCGTAAGCGGAGTTGTTCAAAGCAACGTTTAGGGGTTATTTTGTAAACAAATACAGGATGCTTCGTCACAATAATATGGGTTGTTCCGTCGAAATAATAGATTTTATTCCGCCACGAAATAATAGATTTTATTCCGCCACGAAATAGAGATTTGATTTTTTGGGTTGAAATAGTACCAATTGTTTCGAACAAATAATCATAATTAATCGATTAACTAATCGGGATGGGTGTATCTAACTAATAGGGCTTGTTTTAGGCAACTACTAACGATTATGAAGTGAATTAATAGAAACTGGTCTATTGATTGTGTCATCGAACTAATAGATGTGGTTCACTGGAACTAAAAGCAATTGTTCCTTTGAACTAAAATTGTTCCGTTAATATTGTTCCATCGAACTAATAGGAATTTTTCGAACAACTAATAATGATCATTCCGTGAATTGATAGAGGTTTTTCTTTTAGGTAATATATATTGTTCCGTCGAACTAATAATGATTGTTCCGTTAATAATGATTGTTCCGTTAATAATGATTGTTCCGTCGAACTAATAATGATTGTTCCGTCAAACTAATAATGATTGTTCTGTGAACTAATATTGATTGTTCTGTGAACAAATATCTTGTTGCCACAAACTAATGGAGATTATTCTGTGAACTAATATCTTGGTTTAATGAACCGATAGAGGATGTTCCGTGGAACGAGTGTGCTAATGATGATGATTTTTATTATTATAGATGATTGTCCAGATGGCCAGGAACTTACAGATGAAGGGTCGTGTATTGAATGTGCCCAGAATTTTTATCGTACAAGATCAATCAACGACCAATGTATACAATGCCCTGGTGGAAATGTGACGTTGAGGAATGGTTCATTAACTGAATCAGATTGTATCTATCGTATGTACATTGTCTTATATGTTAAATAAACCCAATATAGTCATCCCATCTCTTCATCTTTTACTAATGATTGACTTCTGGCTCCCAGAGCACACTAGAGTAGTTGTATATTTTTACGTTTTCATTAGCCCAGTCATTGCAAAACAGTTCGGCGTGAAACTCCATTTTTATTTTATTTTATTTTTATTATTTTAGCTATTAAAGGTAATAAAAATTCTACTTGATTTTGTATTTATATTTTCCAGCACCGTGTCCGCCCGGTCAGTTTATAGATATAATGGAACGCATATGTAAACCTTGTGAACACGGTACATATCAACCCGACAAATGGATGACCAACTGTACAGCTTGTTCTACCAGTTACTCTACACGTATGAACGGGGCCAACGATAGCTCGCAGTGTGAATGTAAGTATCATTCCAACTAAATATCGTTGATATGTATTTATAAGAATGGTCTTTCAGATGAAACGAAAAACCAAAGTCCTGTGTACACATTGATGTGCACATAAAAGATCCCTTAACAGTTGAAATCCAAGATAAGAGTAGGCCGTAGCGTCTTCAATAGTCCAGACGGTGCAGGGGGGGTGGATGGCTGAATGGTAAGCACGTGCCCGCTGTATCATAAAGTCTGTCAGTCAACTGGCGTGGTTTCGAATCCCAAGTTGTACGTGACAAGGAATAGGGTCGCCTGTCCAACCTCGTGGGTTTTCACCGGGTCCTCCGGTTTCCTCCCACTGTTATTAAAGACCCGTACGCGCATGCGAATTGTGGAAATAAAATTGAACCATTATGTTAGTCCCGACATGACCTGGTTTATGCCGAGTGGACGTTAAACCCCATCTCTCTCTCTCTCTCTCTCCCTCCCTCTCTCTCCCCATTCGGTGCCGAAAAGTAGGGCATTAAGCCCAATTTAATTTAATTTTATTTATAAGAAAAATAAGCTGCTATCTCCATAAGCGACGGCGTGGCAGTCGGAGAAAGTGGG